GAGTTGAAGAATACTGGTGCCAATGTTTCATGGAAGCAAAAACTTGGGGGGAGTGGGCCAATGCTGTGCATGGCTAGTTACGAGTCCTGAGCTGGGCATAAGATACTCCCTATTTTACACTGTATATCATAGAGCTGACACAAATATTCCTATCTTTCTTGAAGTATTATTTGAATTTCACTAGACCTCTCAGGATCATCTTGTATATTCCTTGATTTGCTATAGAGCTCTGAATATATTATGGATTTCCCGCATTTTTCACAATTTTTCTGGCCCTTCTACAGCCTGCAATCAATTCCAGATACCAATGATGTAATGGCTCTGCAGATCGGGTGAACCTGCAGAGAGCCTATGTCATAGAAGGCAGGAGCCAATCAGAGTCCAGGAATCCAAGCCGATGCGGCCCGCACCTCAGCCACTGACTACAAGCCACTACAATAGTCAATTCCCACGATAAGCAATAAGAGTAAAACTGCCATGCAGACTAGGACAAGACACACAATCGATAAATTCACGACAATATTGTTGTAGACCCGTATAGCATACACCCCAGACGAGAGAAAATAAAAGAGAGATAAGACGAAGAATCGAGCCCGCAAATGAGCAAACAATGGTCCCAGAGACTACAAAAATGCGCCAAAAGTGGTTTCGTAGTCTCACATACAACCGGACTTCCAATCGGAGTTTCCAAAATGTAGTCTGCAATACAAAACATTACTCCCACGACTTCTCGGCACAAACGGTTCTCACGGGGTACAACGTTCGGCACGCAGGCATATTTTGCGCGTAAGGACTCGACCTTCGTACCTCAGGACTCGTAACGAAGATGTGGCTGAGATTTGCCACAAAGCGACACCCGAAAAGTCAGCCGATAGCGGAAAGGCACGAAGAAGAGCGCACGACGGCAGACGCCACGTCGACGGTAACCGTCATTAAGAACCAGTTGACTGTTTCGTGAGTCTGTCCATTGTCTGCCTCTGTGTATATCTATTCACGAACTAGTAATAAGGTGATTGAGACGAGTTCTAAATTTTGTACTTGAAGAAGCTTCCGTACGGTAAGGACCAAATGAAAATTGACTATATATGAGCGCGGAAGAGAACATTAGTTCTATAGCATTCACAACTTTTGCAATTATATGCCAAATCTCACCCCTTGCTCGTGACAGCGGGCTCTGGAGAATATTCCTAAAGTAAACCGTCGTAAGAACGTTGGCCAGAAGCGGTTCGTGCATACAAGGCTCAATGGTTACAAACATCTCTGGCAGGAGCTGTAGGAGTCGACTAGCTCCGTATAGTATGTAAGGGTCAGACGTGACACATATTGGGACAAGATGCTCGAGTATCAGAAGAGCGCGTAGTCGATGACCCGAGGATTGTGAGCATTGACAATGTCGTGTTGACTCAGCTGGTTACGCAGATGGGACCCTCTGCGTCTGGTTATCTGATAGGATAATAATGGATAGAGTCCAAGCCAGCGCCATCCTTTGCGTGGCCTTCTCGCTAGACGGGAGGCCCAGCGTTGTCTCGGGCTCTGAAGATAAGATGGTACAAATTTGGAATGTTGCGCCCGGCAGGCAGATGTTGTTCGTCGATGCAGCATTATACAGCCCCTCAGCTGCTCTAGCCCTCAGCGGCCTCCATAACCCTTGAGGCTTTATGACTTGGCGTATGGGCTTACTCACTGGTTCGAGACGGCGTTCTAGTGAATACATTAACACTATTGAACACAGGGCTACTTGGAGACCCACCAGTGCGGTGTTTCTGCGTGCAAAAGTGCGATCTCCCACAAGGTGAAGGATAAGGTATGGTGAAACAGTGGTCAGGACATTTCAACTGATGTTTATTAAATAACATGGCCAACTCCAAAGCCCCCCTTAAAAGTTAATAACAGTCAGTTTAACAAGCGTTAATCACACATTCAAAAGACACATCCACGTGGTCGCACACACTTTTCAGGTTGAAAAGGCTTGCTAGGCTTCCGTTTCACTCTGCCGGAGCTGTTGGAGGTGCACTTCCTCTGCGGCGTTTGCATTCCCTTTGGTGGACCGCTTCGGGTCGGCGCGCAGGAATTTGCAGTCGCACATTCCCACGCCACAGCTCATGTATCCTCATCTTATCTCGAGTAGATAGAGATTCTGGGACCCCGATCTCTCGTAAGGCTGCTTTTATCATTTCGGTGCCTGCGGAGAGGTTTAAATCATGGGGCCCGGCCTGACCTCCGAGCCTCGTCCGGTCCTGGTCAGGCTTTAAATATTAAATCGGGAGATCTACGGCAGCTGTGATTATATCCATACTTCTGTAACGTACGTACGTACTAGCATCAGTGAAATACGATAACACGGGATTAGCCAATTCCTAAGCTAGGCAGTCCATCAGGCATTCTGCGTGCTGCAGGGATCCGTTCTCACCCTTCCATTTCTCCCCCCTCCATCTGCGTAGCATGCCAGCACTCAGCGATTTGCGCGTCGGTCTCCAACAATGACCTCCAGCGCTCTGCAACTTGCTGGTCCTTCGTGCAGACGCGGTAAGACGAGCCCTTGTAATATCGAAACGCACCGCTTGCAGCTGGGGAGTCGAGATCGCCACGGAAGAACTCGCGCGCGTTCGCGGCATCGCGTGCATCTGCTTCCATTCGCTGCTTTTGCAGCTTGTCGAGCAGATGCTGGTAGCAAAGTCGATTCCCATCCACATCGCGATACACGGCCCAAAATGCGTCATCGGATGTGAATTTCTCTCGCTCCTGTACTATGGACTTCACATATATATCGTTAGACCTGCATATCGACAAGAGCGACAGCCCAGTGCTTTAACTCACCTTCCATTTACCCCAGATACCACGTGTGCTTGACCAGGTGTCAGTACCATGACCCGCGCGTTTCTTGAAGATCGCGGGCCAGTACTTCACGGGAATACCGCGCCCGTTAACGACAAGCGCATTCGAACAGTCCGATGAATGCCACTCCCGAAACAACCTCGGAAGGTCATTCGAGAAGGCAATCGCGGGACGGGGTGGAACGGTGCGTCTATCGAACGCAAATTCCTCATCCCCAAGATTGACAACCGCCAGATGTTCAGGATCGATTTGGTCGCGCTGAAGCGTCACGCTCTGCACTTCAATATGTGAAGTCAGCGCTCCGAGTGCCTGCGTAATCTGACTAGGCAAAGCCGTATCACGATGAGACGGGTCCAGTAAGTTGTCTTCGGCGCTCGTTTGGTTCGGCGCACTGAATGCGACTACAGCTGTTGTAGGCGCAGGAACGTGAGTAGCATTGCTTTGCAATGTACGCTGTATGTCCCCGACCTGACCAAGAAGCAAACCCAGGGTCTGCTCAAGATTCGGATGAGGCGGCCCGTGATGACTCTGAATGAGCGGTAAGTATAACTTTGTCATTTGTTCATTCTCTCGCGTACTGACAGGAGCATAGTCGTAGTGCGCCTGAACACTCGGACCCGCCAGCGGATTGCTGCATGCAACGATTCGGTCATCGGCAGTACGCAATCCCCCAGTGTCGGATGTTGTTATGCTCGATCTGGTGTCCGTCGCTTCGGTATGTGATGGATTCTTGGGCGTACATGGTACGGCGGAGTTATGGTACGTCCTGAGAACATCATCGGCCTATCACGGTAATCAGGTTAACTTCGATATACCATAGGAACCAAAGCTCACCCAGCGGTCCATATTCCGCGCTTCTATATCACCCAACATCCGGTGCCCGCGATCGACCCCTCTTCTGCTTCGGTATTCGACAACATTCTCCTTCTCTCCGAACATCTCTGCCGTGCGCTTTGCTGAGTGCGTGTTGGCCCGCGCACCACTTCTATCACCCCGTCTGCGCCTCGGGGCTGCTTGAAGAAGATGGCTAGGTGTGTATCGATGTAAGTGCCTGCTCGAGATCTGAGGCCACTACAGCAGAGACTGACCCACGCCATGTCCCTCTAGCTTCCGCAAACTCACGGAGCCGTTCAAGGAGGGCTGCCTTGTTGCCGGAGACGTGGAGGCCAAGCTCCTTGAGGATTCCTTTGAGGTTGCTGACTGTTGTGCTAGCGCTCCTGTAGAGTTGTATATACCCGGTTTGAATGCTAATCCATCAAAGATGCAGCCACACTCACACTATAAAATCAAAAGTTACAGGCTCATCATTCTCTCTGACTGTCTGCCCGGGACGAGGTAGGCATAAGACCTCAACTGATGGACCACTGCTAGATTGTCGGCTACCCCGTCCCATGAGGTGATGCAGGACGCTCTGAGTCGTCGCTCGATGTTCAGCACTCGACGCTCAATGTTTAAGCACGGCTTGGGTCTATTCGCCCCAGGCACCGGACTCCGAACGGCTCTCGGCCGACGCCTAACAATTCAATTCAAACCACGGCTGGTTTGAACATTTCACACTATCGCACATCATGCGCGACTACTGCAACGACGACATGGCTCATACAGCGCAGGAACTACAGCTGGGTGGCGCAGTCAATTTACTTAAAGAGCTAAATCAAGTCGCATTCGAAGTGGCTGAAGACGAACAGGACCAGGAAATTGAAGCCTTCGAGTCAGGGGTGGACATCGACAAGTGTCAAGAATCAAACCCTAGCTATTTGCGCACCCCCCCAGCCTCACAGAAGCTGCAAGCTCCAAGTCCCAGTAGCCATAAGGAGCTCTCACAGAATCTGAAAAAGGCCTCAGAACAGATAATTGTCACTAACACTCGTAAGGAGTATAACCGGTGTGTTCTACAGCTTTTCATGGCAAACAGCATTCTGAAGAGCACCTTATTGGAAGCCTGTGGGCTTCGTTCACGCAGTTCTGCGCTGCTATTGGCTACGCCGCAACAGCATCCGCTGTGGATGCAATGTTCCCGAACTTACCTGCAGCCTTCCCCGAATGGATAGCTGTCTGGATAATGGATCGGTGAGCTCTGACAACATTGCGTGAAACATGAAAACTTACCGGAAACTGTAGTTGTGACGAGACTGACATACGAACGGGCAAACCGAAGGATCCGAGCGTACCACGTGCAACATATGCGCATGCGCAAAAGATGCGTGCCGCGATCAGCCATAAGTTTGGCCGGGACTATGGGCTCGGAACGCAGCCCTGGACTGAGGACGCGATGCACTGAGGACGCGATGCACCCCGGGTCATTCAAAGGGAACCCATCACTGTCTGTCACCGTGTCTCAATACATGGTCAGCCTTCGAAGGCGTAAAGTGAGTACTCACTGTATCAACACATCCAATCCCTGAGACTAATCCTGCCTTGTGCAGGTGCGCCAGGGAGAAGTCGTGACAAGTGCACGTGCTATTGACGAGGAAACAATCAAGGTATTGTATTACTTCAACAATGGTTACCCACCGCCGGACGGCCTGGACGGCTTGACTTCCCGTAAACGAAAGGCTGAGCATCCGGAAGACTGGGCTGGGTATACGATCCGCATGATGCTGCAGGTCCTCTACATAACGTCAATGCTCTGTCTGCTCCGGTACGATGAAGCGCTGGGGATTAGCTGGTCCGACGTGTTCTTCGAGCGTGCCGAGGATGGTTCGTGGCACCGACTGCGTCTCGAGCTACCTGTTCGGAAAACCCACCAGAATGGCGGTATGCTGTCCATCGTGCCAACTCCGAGTCGCGCTGATGGTCTTGTTAGGAATATCACCATTTTATCTGTATCCAAATAAAGAACGGCCATGGATGTGCCCCATACGTGCATGGGCAACGTGGTGGACAATTGTCCGTGTAGCGTCCGGTAACACTATCCCGCAAGGCTACGTTTTCCGTAAGAAAATGGGCACGGATAAATTCAGTATCCTTCCAGGAGATGCAATGGTATGTACTCACGCAGTATGGCTGAAACACTGTCACTCACTTCCGACAGTCCTCTGATTCGTTCCTTGAATGTTTTCGGAGTAACCTCCTCGATGTCCGCATTGACCCACGACCCTACGGGACTCACTCTTTCCGACGTGGCGGTTGCCAGTACCTTGCCATCACGTTGCGATGGCCTCTGCGAGACATCTGCTCTTGGGCTGGGTGGGCCGAGAACTTTGACAATCCCGGCACACTATTCAAATACCTCTTGTCTTGGAATGATGCACCCCGGGTTCAGCGCGAGGACTACTTCAATCCGAAACGCGCTGCTGAGAAACGTTGCAGTGTTTGCGGGCGCTCGTGTCACTGTGCATAGAGTAGATTAGTATCATACTGCAGTATTAGACAGGTTATCCATACCTAGAGACCGTCATAGCAGTATCACTGAATGAAGACAGACCTGTACCTCAGTGCACACTCCATTTTGACTAGACACTAAGCAGCTTGATTGAACTATGATACGGCATGCAAGATATACTAATATACAGGTGCAATCACATGGGAAGACTCAGGCATGAGCATCACGAGAGCCTGTATCATTATCTGATAGATGCATAGGAAAGGGCTCAGGAGCCCGACGTATACGCTCAGCCCCGACCACAACACGCTGCCCTGAATGGACCACATTTGCGGCCGAAATCGCAGCAGCACGGACCTTGGCTTTCCTGTTCTCCTCGCACCAGTAGTTGATCACCCACGTCGGAAACATGCTGACGTCGTCCGACTGAGAATCGGATACATAGATGGGTGCAGACACCGTTCCGCGAGCACCATTTGGTATCTGTATGATCATATCAATCAGATGATCTGGAGAGGTCAAGGAAGAGACATACCGGATAACCAGTGCGAGCGTGTACCTCACGCGAACCTGGCTGGTTGTGAGTGCCACCGACATTTACCGTTGAGGTTTCACCATGTTTGCGCTGCAAACGTACATCAGAAACATTATCGAGATACATCCTATGTAGCTCACCTTTCTAGTAGCTTGTGCCCTAGTCCGCTTCCGTCCTGATGCAGCATAGTCCCGGGCAATCACCGGACAACACCTTGATACCACCTCAGCAGGGATCCAGAGACCGACATGCTGGGTGACCATAGAGCCAACAGACGCGGGTGGGCAGAGGAAGGAATTCAGCGTGAGGTCGTGAAGGGCACTGGAGGGAAATCGTAGCTTGAACATAGGGACCATGGTGCTCTTCGACGTTCTTGATGCCAGAATGGTGTCCGGCGCTATGACACCAGAGCCGGAAGCTGGGTGGGAAACAGAAGGCTCTGCAGTCATGCAGAGCATCCGTAACGCAACGCCAGGCCATATGTGGTCTGTGAATCTCCGCAAAATCTCATTGCCACTCCCCCACGTAAAGTAGTGCTCACAGAGCCGAGCAAGGCTTGCAACATCCGGCAGGGATGCGTTGCATGGAGGTGGGACCCCAGTACCCATCAGAAAGGACGTGACTGGGTTGACGTAGGCGGCAAGGACAGCGCGAGAGGGGAAAGTATCGGGAATCCGAGAAGCGAGAGCCGGGTTGCGATGGCCTATGTATCCCTCGGGATCATCACGGACGTAATGACGAAGTTGAGTCCTCCATTGCAAAAATGATGGCGAAATGTCAGCGGCGGTCGAGGCCGCAGCTTCCAGCAATGCCTCGCCGCAGCCATAGCGCGCAAGACCTGCAGCCAGGTGGGGTCCAAACCCCGGCAGCCCAGCCTATGTTCGGGGTGACTCACATCAGCGGCTCCCCGCAGGCATCTGCAGATACTACACACCTCATCGTAATCGCCGCCACTAAGCACAGCAAACAGTATATAGCCACCCCGCGTCAACCCCGAGCACACCTCCTCCTGTATCGCTTCCCGGGTGTATATGATGACTCTGTCCTTGTCTTTCTTGACATTCGGGCTGACCGCCATAGTCAGACAATATCGAGTAGGAAGTGAACCGACGGCTTACTTTCGAATGATAGTCTTCGCACCAAATACGAGCGTGTCACTGTCATCAGTAAGGACAGCGTCCACTAAGCCGCTAGCACTCATTTCCGCAAGCTCCGCCTCAGCCTCCGCAGGGGCCTGAATGCATGTACAATTCAGTCATGAATGAGTCACAAGGAGGCGAGAACTGACACAATGGGACTGGAAACCAAAAGCCTTGATGAACTTCTCGAAGGTCTGAATCAGCCAGTGCTCCCGAGCAAATACCCTCTTCCCTCTCTTGACGGGCGGGCGTCCAGGCCCATCGAATACAAATATTGCAGCAACAGGTAGGCGGCCAAGTCGAGCAAGGCGTGAAAAGATCGTATTGAGCTCGGGGTTTTGACCCCGGTAAGCATGGCCGGCAATGTGGATAGATTGAGCTGCATGGATCCATATACTAGGACAAGGAGAGTAAGGCACTGTTAGACTGATGTGATGGAGCCAGCTTACCTGGCATCAACACCTATTCGAAGATAGGCAATCCCTGACTCACGAGCACAGGCATGCTCGACAGCGAGCTGGGTGAGCGCTTGGTTTCGAGCGGCCGGTTTGATGTGCTGTAGATGGTTAGAGATGGTCAAAAGGGCGCCGGGTTGAACATACCTCCCAGAGGCCGTTAACACCCATGACGAGCTGTGCTGTTGTAGTGCTGGAAAGCTGAAATGCCCGCCTCAGCTCAGTCGACCAGATATAAGCTCTAGACTTACTAAGGGACAAGACTGTCGGCGGCGGCGGCGGCGTCGTTGTCGTTGTCGTCGTCTTCGACAGAGTTGAAGTGGAAATTGAAGCGGGAGGGGGGTCTCGACGGCCATGGCACCGGGTAGGGCGGCAAGTGACTGCAAATCTCCCGCCAGTCGACTGCAAATGACCCTAACGAAAGGCCTGCGCAGGTCGACCTGGCGGGCAGCGCTGCCATTCTGGACAGCCTGTTCAGCTTACTTCGCATCGGTGCATTTGCAGTCGTATCGTGAGAATTTACGGTCACCTCGGCACGGCCTCAGTTGTCTCGGCTTTGTCACCATGTGCCTTTGAATTCGTCTCAGTGGTTACTATAACCGAGTTCGCCGCTTGTAGCCACAGATGTCCGCTGTACTTTCCGTGCCAAGTTCAAGGTTTTGTACTTTAGATTCACTCTGAAACACTAGACGGCTAGTAGCATGCGACTATAAGCAGCATTTCCCAGATTTGCTTAAACTAGTGCACATTCATAGCAAACAATCCTCTCTGTACGGGGTCCTGATCTGCTTGACAATACTGATTCCTGATGGCATTACATAATGATGGGTACTGATTATGGTACTGTAAACGTATACACCTTCAGACTTTCTTCGCAAGCTGATGTACGTTCAGGGAAAGGCCGTCGGCGACTGGGTTCATGGCTGTTGCCGAACGTTGTTTGCTTTCATTTGTCATGTTCATTGTGGCGTCGATATGACCCAAGACAAACTTCAATCCAGGGATGAATGGTTAACACTACACGAACCAATAAATAAATGCCTTCTTACCAATCTTAAGTTGATCGTTTACACGACATGGAGAGGGCTCTCAATGGATATATGAATCATTCCAATGCCGTCGTCTAGCTGCATCAGCGCCTTCGAGTCCTTCTGCAGCGTCGTATTCCTATACCAAGATCACAACGCATGAGAGGGTATCATGATCACGATATTTTTTTGCACTATCAATACAATATACCTGCCAGCCGAGGTCCTTTATCACACAATCCAAGAACGATATCCAAGCTGCAACAAAATGAGAATCCACACACCCCTCCTCACATACCCGGGCCCGCTACCTCCCACCAACTTCGCTCTCCAGCATCCGCACCGCCCGCTCGACGTCCCCGTCCACACTCGTGCTCCACGCCCATTCCCAATTCGTTCTGACCGAGTACGCGAGGTCGGCCAGCGTCGCGGGGCTGTTGTCGCACACGTCGTGCCGCTGGAAGGTGAACAACATCCCGTTCTCGCGCGACTTGCGCTGCACGAGCTCGGCAAACGGCCGGCGGACGCGGTCGTACACACCTAGCGCTGCTGGCAATGTGTCGAGGGTCGTGAGAGCGTGCCCGAGGAGCGTGCCCAGGATGTAGGCGTCCTATGTATGGGGAGGGCCTCAGTGTGACGGCAATGCGAGGGGATCCAGACGTACCTCGATCGCCTGGCCGGCGCCGCTACCTTCGTGTGGGGCCATTGCGTGCGCCTTTGGAAGAGACACGACGGCGGTGAGCCGCGAGTTAAGGAACAGCACATACGATGCACGCACCGCGTCGCCGAGTATCGTCACCCTGCCCGATACCCAAGTAGGCAGCGGCGGAGCGGTGTGTATCGCCCATCTAAGCGGGGCGGGTGCCACCTACCCATCGTTATATCTTACACGCTCCGGGGGGCGAGATATCAAGCGTACCTCGAGTAACTGCTGCACCTCCTCGTCCCACCCACGATATGGCTCTTTCCATTCGCTCGACCCCGGCTCCACCTCGGCCATCCAGGGCCCGGGGAACGTCGTGCCCTCCAACTCCGGGCGCCGCTGGAAGGCGACGAAGTTGAGGTGGGTGCCGTGTTGTATAGGGTATGTTAGGACATACTGCCATATTACCGTTGGTCAGTAACCAGCCCCGGCTCGACCACGGCTGAACTCACGTTATCTCGACCGAGGAACTACGCGACGCAGGCACACTTGCACTTCAGCGATTGAGTGCAAAAGAGAGAAGCGGGCGGAGGAAATACCTGCGATGGCGTTGTTATACACCGATGCTGCGGATGGGATGCCCTAATCTCCTCCATGGGTATCAGCGCCCGGTACGCGACCTCGCCGCTCCATATGGGCGCGGCAAGCTCTTCCGACTCCACCCGCCCGCTCCGCACGAGCTCGCGCACGATCCCTGCGCGCGTGCTGGAGCGTAGACCGTCCGCACCGACGAGGAGGTCGCACGTCGCGGTGGTGCCGTCCGCGAAGGTGAGGGTGATAGGCTGGCAGGGGGAGGACGGCTGGGTGTAGGATGCGAGGCGTTTTGACGTGTGCGCGGAGTGGGAAGGGGGTAAGTGCGAGAGGAGCGCTTTCTGGAAGTCGGCACGGTGGAAACGGAGGAGGCCACCTGGACAAGGTCATGATGGGATGGAATGGGGCAGAGGAATGCGGTACCTGGCGAGACGAGATCGTAAAAGCTTAAACCACGGTGCTCATTGCTCTTCCTGTAGTGAAATACATGAGCTAAACAGCGATATCGTTGTTAGTCACACTCGGTCGGGGATGAGGCCGCACTAAGAAGGAACGAAACATACCCGGTTTGTCCGGGTCAAGGCCGCCCACCAGGTTTACGACCTCCTGGCGCAAGCCGAGCTTGTCCAGTACCTTCAGCGCGCGCGGCCACAGCCCGACGCCCGCGCCGACTTCTGTAAAGTTCTTGGCTGCCTCGTAGATGGTGACAGAAATATCAGGGTATCTTGCGAGGGTCAGAGCGAGGCTGAGGCCGCCCACTCCTCCTCCGCTGCGAGGTTAGCTATGCGTAAGCGTTCCGTATGACGATCTCACGAAAGACGTCAGACCATATGGCCACTCTAAACTTTGGCTCGGTCATTGCAATCATTATCGTTACAGAGAGTAAGAAAGAGAGGCTCTAGAATGGGCAGCACGACATAGACGAGTCCCGGAGAGGGTCCAGGGACAAGGCAACGCTGGCGGACATGGGTATATGTAACCACGACGGCAGACTTGTACAACGTTAGAAAGTGCGATGGCAACGCACTCCGGAGAACGGTGAATTGCAAGGCAGACCAACCAGGACAGCGCGAAGCCAGACGGATTGCGCGCATATCGAGATGCCCTCTCGATGCGACCGATGAGGCCGAGGCACACGGACCCGTCCCACCGACGCCGCCGCCATCACTGCGTCCCTGGGCCCCGATCCCGGCACAAAGAGGCTCCAGAGTGCGCACTTTGCTTCCGCAACGTCCCCGGGCGCCGCTAGTTCGCCGGAGTGATCCTTCTAGCGAGTCGATAACCTCAGATCGTCGTGTCGCCCATCGGCGTCGCGCTCGGCGTTTCTTCTCTTCATCTCGAATGAAAGCACGTCTATTGGCATGATCCTGTCAACTCTAGTGCGATGCAGGCACTTTGACCCGACGACGGGAGAGCCTACATCCTCGTTTTCGAGGCACGATTGGAGCGGACGAAACCGGAAATAGCGATGCACCGTCGCATCTGGAACTCGTCTTTCCCGCGAAGCCATCGCGCACACAAGAAAATTGCCACGTGGTTCTCCATTGGTTCGACAGCGGGAGCAGTTCGCAACGCCGCTCGTTGAGTGGCACTGGACGTTCGCTGTATACGTTGGCAAAAATAAGCGTCGAGTTCTGTCAGTTGGCCACTTGTTGACTGTCGGTGGAGGTCGGACAACCGACGACTACTGCGTGCGTGGATCCCCGTGAACCTTTCCGTGAAAATCGCACTTTAAGATATTTACCCACCGTTACCGTACGCGTCGAAGCAGGGTGGTCAACTCGGGGGTGATGATATGTGTTCGCAACGAGGACCAGACCGGACATCCATAACTGTGTATGCTCTGATAATCAGATACGCCTATTGCACTCGAGCCGCGGCGATAGGACCGATGATATTCGGGATCACCTCATTCCGTTCTGACGTATCTATTGGTGCACATGCAATGGTCGACTGCATCTACAAATTACAGGTGAGATTACTTGCTTCCTTGGTCAGGTTACATCACTCCACGTCGTGGCAGAACATGTCATGACCTCCCGTAGAACACTTCCAAGACTTCTCACTACAGGTATGGCGCCTCTTCCTCGGTGGTGGCGCTTAGGACCACGTATAGGATCTTTCGATAAGAAACCGAAGCATAGCGGTCATTTGCGCCGGTGAAGGTATGTCTGATTTTACTCCTACTCATCCTGCTCCCCCGCTTACCTCGCATTGACACCAACTGTAATGTACAGTCACCTACTTCACTTAGTACGTGCAGATGTGCTCGGAAGGCACACGGCTGCTGACGCGGTAACATAAGATACCTGAAGGGCGCGATTAATCGCCGACTTTGCACCGATGGTACGGGTAACATGAGCTACTTCACATGCTCCACTCAGATTAGCTGACTTGTGCAGTAGGTACGCTGACAGCCCTGTACGCCGGAATAGTGCGGTCTCAATCCTCACTTGAACCTCTGACTCAGCCACACTGGAGGCGAAGGGACGGGGTGCCAAGGACTCTGTCGGAGTAACAAATACCTCCACCCTTGTTCAATATACCAACGAAATGCAATACTGAATCCATAAGCTGCTATCACTCGTAGATCGCCAGTATCTAGACCACAGGTCAGTTCGACTCCTTCCATCGACACCCGAAGCATGAACAACTTCCCCGCTTCCGTCGCACTGATGTCGAAGCTATAGGGATACGTGAGAGTCAAGGATGCACAATCTACATCCACCCTCTTTGGTGGCTTCGACCTAGGTATCTGTAGTCATCCCGATGTAAGGACCGTGCTACGAGTTGGCGCATAGATAAGCAACTATAGCAGGCACCGAATTCGTCCACCGAAGGTGCGCCCGACTTCGTGTATAACTGTTCACCTCCCCCGCTTTTTTCGCACTGATGTCGAAGACATACACGAGAACCCAAGACGTACAGTCTATATTTGTATTTTTGAGTTGAGAGCAGATACACAGATCCGTGACCCCGAGGGAAAACCGGTGAGAGTCTCGCATGCGATAGGGCGCTATATGCAGGGCGCGTCGGTCTGTCGGACGGTGGTGGCGTGCTACTCATCACGTCAGATAGGGTTGAGTCTAGTTTGTGGCGAGGCTTCCACGGATAGAAAGGGGCTTGCGCATGCAACCGTGGATTCTCGAGATATCTGTCCCAACCCTACGGCTTCATGACATCCCTGGACTCAGGCGCGATAAATCTTCAATCCACGGACCCGCCGTATACGGCCGTGTCACGCGGACATGGTCGCATAGACTATGCACGTCTTCCTCTATGCAACCACCGAGCGGGCGACATCACGGGCGGGTGAGGTAACCCTCCAGCTGCCTTGGAATTAATAAGGCCCTGCCCTGGGTTAGTTGCCCAGTGATACCGTTAAGGGTCGATTATTTCACTTGGGTTACGAACATACACATACGACCTGAGCTTATAGTATGTCATAGTGGCCGAACGTCAGGACATAGCACCACCAGCACTGTAGACAGCTGTCGAGTCCTGCGGTTTAGTTCCGTATTGCCCTTCACTGGGCGTACGGTCCGAAACGATCCACTTGAGCAGCGCTCGGCGTGCACCGCTATAACTTCAGCCACTTGGACATGTGGAGGTCCACCATTATTTATGCTTCCAATTCTTCCTTTGAGGAGATGGGCCAAACGCAAGACTCACCCATTATCTGGTGCAGGAAAATGGAGAATGTGTGACTGGGGCTGGGGGGCGGGGGGCGGGACCGTTACCCAACACGGTAGCCACCGTCCTCTTATGGTAATCCCCGCAGGGTCGCAACATCGCGATACGTCCGCCCCGAAGGAGATGCGCAAAAAAGGGAATTGTTCATTATCGAAGCGGGGCACATGTGGCTGGATCGCGACCTCCGTGCTTTTCGCACTTTGCCATTTCCACGACCTCCTGTGCCAGTTTGCCACACCGCTGCCTGCGCTCGAACACTGCGTGGTAACACATGGACCCATATCCACCCGGCACCAATACACCAACCGGGGAACGCTGGGTGGTGGACGTCGACTTGGAGGTAATCCCACCAGATTACAACCATGGGCAGATCTTCTTTGACCCCGGTCGATTCGACCGGCTTGCGCTGCCATCGCACTTTTTGGCGAGCGAGCCGCTCCGGGTTTTCTGTTTATCTCCGCCCGCTGCGTGCAATCGTACTCTGGATTGACATTGGCACGATTTTCATGCGTCACGTCTCCCGCACGTACTGGCAGCCGTCTCGTCCGCGCTCTAGTTATTTCTCCAACAGGACAACTCGACGGGTCCATTTCCTCCTATCTACAGGCCCCACAAGACTTCTGACTTCGGACGGGATTTGTCAACTGTACGCTCCCCACCAGCGACTCTGCAGCGGCGGTTGATATGACACGTCCGACCACATGGAAGCACGCCTAGATCTGCAGAAGGGGGTGCACCCCGGCAGCCCCGTTACACGAGGTGAGGATTTCCGGCGCAATATCTCGAGATTTGATCTTGACTCCCGGCCCGTGAGGAGGACGATTCGGCGGGTATAAAGCCGTCGAGCCCCAGCTACTTTCACGGACTCGGTACCCCCCTCGCTCTGGTACAGCGCCAGCATGCCCTAGACCCACGCACTCTTGGATCAGCCGCGTCGGCGACCCCACCGACCTTCGTACCCCATCCTTCTCGCGCCCGGTTCGCTGCAGCATTTGGGCTCGCCAAGGAGCTCTGTCGCCGAATGCAACATAGCGCCCCCCTCCTGCCTGCCGCCCTACCGTCGAGATGTCTGGCAGCTATTTAGCTCCCATGGCACGCTCCCACCCGAGGACTTGCGCTTAGCATGCCCCTGCTCGTACCGCATCGTCTCCTCACCCACCCACACGCCCAGCGCCCGACCCAATCTTCCATGCCACCGCAGCCTCGACGGCCACCGTACACCTGTTACCCTGATGCCGACACGCTGTGTCTACGACCGATACCGGGATTCGCAGCCGCGCGCCGCGGAGGTGGATGCGTCGGGGAGGCTGACGGCAGTCAGACGAGGACGGATGAATACGTACGTACCCTCCTTCGTGTCTTCCGCCCTGCTTCTCTGACTTGCGTGTCGCCGTGTAGAGGCAGTGGGCGTGAGCCCATGATACCCACGCGCGTCGTCTAGCCCTGGATTCCCAGACCGCCGCTGACCTGGGTAGGTCTACTCGCCGGCGCTCAGGCCGTGGTCACCAGAGGACGTCTACGGATGGCAGCTGCGTGGCCATCATCCTCGCCGGACAGACTGTAGGTGCCTATACTCCCATGATGAGCCGTTCTCGCTCAACGCACGTTTGGCAGCCCTCCCTATGCAGGGGAACCTCGACGTATCCGTATCTCCGTCCGGCTCACACTTGCCATCTGCGAGGCAGAAGCATACGGGATGGCCTGGAGGATGTCCAGCGGGCACACACTTGACTGCTTGATCGTGGTCAAATGTGGGCCCTTTGGATATACTCAATGGATCTTCCCGGGCTCCGCCAACCAACTGTAGCCCCGCCACACTACATCTGTGGGCTTTGTTTCGACCACAGGGCATGGACAAGCCTCTGCACAGGAGGCATCTCATGGGATGCCGTGTGGCGGACGAGTCCTTCGTCGTGCGCCACACCTGCCAGTCGTGTATCGTCCTCCTTGGTCAAAGGCGATTGACTGACCTCAGTCCGACATTCTAGTCCGTAACCGAGCCTGAGCTTCCGCGATCAATCAAGATGCGTTCAGGTTTGTTCGGATTGCATCCATAATACCCTTGTGTACGGTGTAGACATTACGAAGGCCATACCTAGCAAGTAATGAATGTACCACGTCTTCGAGTCGCCTTCGAGCCATGCAGAGTTCCAAGTCAAAGTACAATACGCGGGTGTAAGTTCACCCAGCATGTCTTCCCACACAAGAAACACCGGTAATCAAATTGCCACGTGCGAATGACCCCGGACGGACGGCGTCTGTGGAATCGATGCGCTCAGCTAGCAATGCTTCCCCTCACCCTTGCTGCGCCGTCTAGGGCTGCATAGCGATAACTGCCTGGCCGAGGCTCAGCTTGTCTTGCCCACTGCGCTTGCTATCCATTGGTTTCACCGCTGGAACTGGGCGTCGTTGGTAGCGATATAGGTGAGTGATACATACTTTACGTTGGTGGGGCGACTTTTACAAGTCGGTTCCTCCTCATGCAGACTTTGAGAGGCGCCGAATCAATCCATCCATCGCGGTACTTGGCACCAGTGCATACTGCTACCCTGCCCGCTCAACATGAGCCGCCACAACCCGTTCCGCACGCCCGGCGTCACCCCGCAGCCCACCGGCGCCTCCACATTCACATTCACATCCCCATCCACCTCCGCACCCCCTCCCGCATCGCCACATCCAAACCCAAATCCACCCTACGCGCCCCCACCCGGCCCACCCCCCTCATCCACCGCCGAGGCTCACGACGACCTCCCCGAAATCCCCGAAGACCTCCCCGCCCTCCCGGACGAGCCGCCCCCCGCGTACTCGAGCGCGCCCGACCCGTGGCGCGGCGAGGCGACGATCGAGCTCGGCCCGCGCAGGCCCTTCCAGCAGCCCCCTGCCCCTGCTCCTGCCCCTGCCCCGCCCGCGCCTCCTGGACCACCCCAATCCCAGCCCCCACCCGGCGCGTCGAGCTACCCCGGGTCGGTGTACCGGCAGCACACGGGTGCGCCGCCGCCGCCGCCGCAGCACCCGCACACGCGCCGGCGCTCTGCTGCCGGTGGTTCGGCGCATACGCCGACACCTGCGCCGTTGTCGGACTTTGCGAGGGATTTCTACGCCGCGGGGGCGGATGGGGGTGGCGATGCAGGCACCGGTGCTGCTGCGCAGCCCAGCCAGGGCGCGTACCAGCCGCGGTATGCGCCGCCGCCCGGGCCACCGCCGCGAAGCCCTGGGGGCGGGGTCCCGGACGATGGACGGCCGACGAGGACGCCCGTACCGGGGCATCCGCTGCTGAGGGACGGGCGGCTGCTGGTGTACCCCGGCGGGTACGAGTGTCACAAATGTGCGTCGCGCCCTCGATCTACTTATGCCATGGTCCCGTCTATATCGACGCCCGCAGGCCGCAACACGGGGTACAGGAACTTTGACCCGTCGCACCCGTGCGGCAAGTGCTGGGACAGGTACGCGAAGCCGTTCGCGGGCGCGGTGGCGTACGCCGACTGGGCCTCGCCGGCCTCCGCGTCGTCGGGGAAGACGTTCCAGCGCCCGCTGCCCTCTTTCTCCCCGCCGCACCTCTCCTCCCCCAACTCCTCCTCCTCCCACCTGCGCCCGCCTGCTACTGCCCCGCCCCGCCCGCATTCGTACGCAGGATACGAATCTCCATCCCCCGGGTTCACCACGGCGTACGCGCAGGCGCCGCCGGCGGGCGCGGCGGTCGTGCAGCCGGGGGACCCGCGCATCGGCGGGAACTTGTGCTGGCAGTGTGGCGGGAGCGGGCGGGTGCCGGTGTTTTTGCTGATGGAGGAGCGGTGCGGGGTGTGCGGGGGGCTGGGGAGGGTGTTTGCGTGAGGGACGGCACTGAGACTTGATCGATGTAGCATATTTAAGGATGTAGTAGTGTACGTTTGGGCGCTGTTATCGTGACCCTGCCGTGACTTGGCGAACGAAAGTCTGTGTAAACTATGTATGCCCGCACGGAGCGCTGGGGCTTCGAAGCGCGTCGGGATCGTCAATCTCGCTGATGCCGATGCTCGAGGAGAGGCGGTGCGCGAATATCGCCGGCTGTTTAGCGCACCCGTGCGAAACCACGATTAATCATTCCACCCGCGGTCGCCATCGCCTGCTCGTCGTCGTCGTCGATGCCGCCAGAGGTGAGCAAGGGCAGCACGCGGCGCGCGCACCGCAAGGACGCGCTCGACGGGCACCAGGTGCGCGAGATCGAGCTGCGGCGGAGCAGGGGCGAAATCTCGTGTGCCGAGTGTCGGAGGTGCGCTCCACGCTCGCTCGCTCGCTCGCTGGATGGGCGGACTAACACGGAGTGCGCAGGCTCAAGATCAAGTGTGACAAGACCGTGCCGTGCAAGTCCTGTCGGGTGCGTTCTCAGTCAAGCGCATGCGAAGCTGGTCTTGATCCGTCGTTGGTCCAGAGACGGGGCTGCGAGTCGCTCTGCCCGAACGGTGTGTCCGGCTTTGCGTTTCGATCGTCGCGCGCGCTAATCCAGTGCAGATAGCCTCACCACTGGCCAAGGCACCCGGTGCGTGTCACTGCGCCATGCCATCTCCGACGCGCGCGAAGAGCTCATCACAAGTCTCTGTTAGATCCGTGCTAGCCGCCACCGAACACCTCTACGACCAGATAGGTGCACTCACAAAGCGCGTGCGGCAGCTCGAGGATGCCCTTGCCACCGTCCAGGCGCAGCTCTCGCCCGAGCCTCACCCGCTGTTGCGGGGAGACACTACCGACGCCTCTCGCTCGACGTCGGAAAGTCTGCCCGCGAGCATCGAGGACGACGCGGAGACGCCGCTGCCCGACCAGTCCGGGTATGACTACTTTGGAACTCTGACAGTGTCCGAGAACGGCGTCTCGCGATTCTTTGGACCCACCGGTGGCCTAGAGGTGCGTGCGCTCATCTCATACCAGCCCACTAACGTCAACATGCCACCCGCAGACGCTACTACGGGTAAGCCAACTTCCCTTGCACGCCTCTTTTGCTGATCACTGCCAGGGCGACGAGTCTCCGGTCCCGACGGGCTCGAGCGCGGACACGAGCGAATTCGAGCTCGAGCTCGACACCCCCTCCCTCCCCACCGCCATCACCGACTTTGCCCGCTCCTTCCCCTTCCACCTCGGCGGCCCGCTCTCCTCCGTGCAGAAGCTCGTCGAGGCGCAGCTCCCGCCGTACGACCGCGCGCTCGCGCTCTGCACCGCATTCAGCGAGCGCGCGACGTGGGTGTACCGCTGCCTCTCCAAATCTCAGCTCCTCGACGACCTCCTGCCCTCCATCTACGCCCTCGCCCCGCCTAGCGCCGACGACAACGACGGCGACACGGGCCCGCACGCCCTCGCGCTGCTCTTCACCGTCCTCGCGATCGGCGCGCTCATGGAGTCCCCGCTTGGGCGCGCCCCCGCCGAACGCTTCTTCCAGGTCGCGCGCTGCGCCATCTGCCTGCGCTCCGCGCTCGACAACCCGGGCATCGCGACGGTGCAGGCCCTCGACCTCATGAGCGCGTACAACTCGATGCGCGGCGACGACGTCGTCGACCGCGCGTCGCGCATGGAGACGACCTGGAGCCTCGTCACGCTCGCCGCGCATCTATCTCATACGGTCAGCCCTTGCTTTCTTCTTCGTGATCTCTGGGGGGACCGTTGTGCTTAGCGTGTCGTGTTAGTTGGGTCTTCGTGAGTGTTCACTCGGTCAAGCGAGGACGAATGCGATGCCGACGTTTTCGTCCCAGATCGCGAGAGCGCGCGCTGGGGCCTGCCGCAGAAGATCGTCGAGCGCAGGCGCCGCGCGTTCTGGGACATCTTTACCTTTGACGCGTGGCAGGTAGGCATGCATGCACGGGTTCCCGCTGCGGCACACTACTGATAGCCAACCCTCGTAGAGCCTAGCCACCGGCCGCCCCACGGCGTGCACCATCTCTACCGTGGACTGCCTGCTCCCCGAATCCGACGACCCCGCCATCACAGCAGGTACGCCGCCGCCGCCGCCGCCCTCCCCACGTCTCCCACTCACCCCCGCCTCACGCGCGCAGGGGAGAAGTGGATGTTCCAGTTCTCCGCGTGCTGCGTCGCCGCGGTCGCCGCGCAGGCGGCGATCCCCGCGGCGCCGCCGTACACGCGCATCCTCGAGCTCGAGGGCAAGATCACGGGCTTCCCGGCGCCGCCCGCGTACGAGCCCGCGCCGCACGCGCCCGCGGCCGACCTCAAGCGCGCGATGCTCGCCTTTGTGCTCGCGCACTCCCGCGAAACCAGTGCGTCGCCGTCGCCCCCGCTCGCCCCTGACGCTGACGCTGACGCCCGACAGTCCTGCTGTACCTGCACCGCAGCTACTTCATCCAGGCGATCATGGACCACCCGGCGAACCCGCTGCGGAGCGAGTACGCGCCCAGCTTTTTGACGGCGTACAAGTCCGCGTCGACGATCCTCAAGGTCACGCGCGAGCACTTTGCGAAGAACCCGGACGTGACCGCGCCCGTGTGGTACGTGTGGTCGTTTGCGTTCTCTGCTGCTGTAGGTCCTCGTCGTCTGTGTATCGCGACGTAGTACGCCGAGCGAGACTAACGTGTGGGTGGCGTGTTGGGCCTGGTAGATCCTGTTCGGGGCGGTGGTGACCAAGGGCCCGCGGTCGGCGCTCGCGCCGTCGGCGATGGAGGAGCTCGAGCAGGCGTTCGTGCTGTTCACAAAGGCGGCGCCGCTCAACCGACGAGCGGCAGAAGCCCTGGTCAGTCCCGTCTGCGCCTCCCGTCGGCATGGCGTGTGCTCTAGACTAACACGTTGGCCCAGCCCATCATCATCCGCCTCAAGAAGAAAGCGCGCGACGCGCTCAGCGCAGCCGACAGCCGCCTCAACGGGGCGCCCGGGAATCATGCACCCGCAGACAGCCCGGAGGAAGACGAGCTCTCGATATTCGCGGGCAAGGCCAAGCTCGTCTCGCGCCGGCGCTCGGGCTCGCTCGCGGGAGAGAAAACGGACCGCGCGTCGAAGAGCGCCACGCCCGCCCCGGTCGCGTCCAGCTCTACAAGTACCAGCCCCGCAGCCGGGTTCGCGCCGCAGCCGCAGCAACGCGAGGAGACGGCGCCTGCGGGCCCGGATTGGTCGTATAACTACTACGACGCGTACGATGGGCACTATGTGCCGCCCCCGCAGCCCCCGGGGTTCGCCCAGGACGCGTTGCGCCAGCATCCCCAGGCGAGCGGATACGCGTGGCCGGCCCCGAATGCGTACCCGCAGTTTGGGCAGGAGCACATGAACGTGGATACTATGCACTTCCAGCAGCCGCAGGTGTATCAGCAACATCCTTCGTACCAGGCGTCGATGGACGTGTATACCCAACCGTTCGGGCACCCGCCAGATTTCCCACCAGGGATGGAACATATCGTTGGCACAAGTGGTGATACGAGGATGGATCAGCGGTGGACGAGCTTTGTGCGGGACTCGGGGTTGGGCGACGATGCCAGTTTTATCTGAGATATGATCTTACTTCTGTTTCTGCAAGCTCTATGGCTGGGTATTCACTATAGCATGTATAATTGTGCGATCGTGTTTGCAGAGATGTACGGATTTATGACACATGACCTACGGGGGCCTGGCCGTCGACCAAAATCGAACTCGAAATTGGCGATGAATCAGCATCATCCTTCGTACCAGACGTCGATGTTCGTGTATATGATTGATCTGCGCTGGTCGAGATTCGAATTTCGTACGGGACTCGAGGTGTGCGACGATGCTAGTTTATATGGTTGTTTCTGTATCAGTGGATGAACGAATCATTGTTCACCACTAATGCACATTGACAATCTCCAGGCAAGGCGATGATTCATTTGTGGGATATGCATAGATGCATCCATTCAAACTTGAAATACCACCAGGTTTTGCCTTAAGCTATCTAGAGAGTTGATACGGCGCACAGCGCCGTGAAGCAAAAATTCATGTGCTGTGGAAACCAAAGACACTAGCCTCGAGGGATATTTCAAGCCACGGGAGATCCCTGAATATAGCACTAGTATACCCTTTCAATAATATACCCCTTCTGAAGCTCACGGGACCCGAACGGAGTGTCTTTCCCTTCTCTTTCTCTCTCTCCTTGGATTTAATTTCTTCAATTTCTTTAATTGATCTAAAAGTCCACACCTATAGTACATAAGCCTCTCCACGTCCAGGCCTCAATACCCGTTTCCTCAGCCGTCAGACGAGAGACGTTGTCTACACTTCCACGCAGTGAGATGGACTTGTCGAATGAGATTGGGCCAGTAATATATTCGGGGCAATCTCCAGCTCCACGACTCGCTCGATCAAAGACCCTATGCGGAGACGTACGTGTATATCATAGTATGCACGCACACCAGCGGGACCATGGAGCGCGAAAATCCAGGGTTCGCAGCGCAAGGAGATCGCTCAAGCCTACTTTTCCACCTGCCCTTATACGAGTCGCGTGGGATTTTGTGCAAAGGGACGAGAATGCCTTGCATGACCAGCTGCGTTGGCCTGATCGCGACGCCCGGGGTTAGGCGACGGAGTTGCGGTTGACCCGCTAGGTAAACATGATAAGGCATCTTAGACTAGGTGGCGAGTGGAGGAGGGAAGAGCGCCTCCGCGCGTATGCCAGCTGCTCCACACCCGCCCATACCCCAACGCCGCTTTAGATAGTTTCTATACAGCGGACATGTCAACTAGCCTTCGCAAAACTGGGACTTCAGCGGTGCACAAACGTTGGTGTGCTGCCAAGATGTGGGTACTTCGGCGCTTCAAAAGCCCTAAATGAATCGTCCCAAGATTTTACCGGTTCGAAACTTTGTGGAAAGCTGCGGCACTCAGTTGGTGAACAGAGCACCTTCCTTGTCTGGACCCGAATCCTGTCAATGAGTCATAGTACCACGCGGAGAAGAGGAAATATAGAATTAATGGAGCCCACACGTTCTCTCTGGCTGCCGGGAGTGCGTAAACGCATTTTACCTCGGACCGGGCAATGCTTGCGTTGCCCGCTTCAGCGGGCATTCTGGGGCTAGACCGATTTTCAGTTGCCAGTATGCCATATCGCTTGTCAAAAAAAAAAAGGATTAATGGAGCCGCACCGGTTGTGACTTCAGCTGAGAGAGTCTTCTCCGTAGCGAGGCCCTATCGAACATGGCTCCCATGACTGACGATATACCACAGCAGCGAATCGTATTCTATGCGCCCGAAATTGTCAGAGCTATGCATGTACAAGGGATGGATTGGACGTTAATTGGCCTTCGGCGTCCCCTCTGGCTGCCACAGTCCGGTTGTATTGCGAACTAGAATGAATAAAAGAAACGTACGAGAATGGGCAAGTATTCAGGGGACAAATATATCGTCCGTGCGCTGGCGAGATACACATAGGTTGTGGAATTCGCATTGGTCTGAGCCCATGCTCTCCCTCTACGCGAGTTTCCGATATTACCGTCTTCGGTGACAGTGTAAACAGTCATCACCCGATTGACATAGACATAAACAAGACAAACTATGTTCTGTCGGATATGGCATTCCTTAGTTACTGAACTCCCGAGAGGGGCCACTCGGTGTCGCCAGAGAATACCTACATGGACTACGTGTGAGTTCCATAGTCGAACAGTACAACTGACCGTGACTGGCGAGAGAAGGCTCATATATCATAGAAACTGATTGTGCGTGTATCTTCGTTGAATTCTTACCTAGAGTGACGTAGGATTCCCGCAAGAATGCGGTGTCAGATGTGTTGACGAACAGATGGAGCGGTGGCCAATATATCTGACGATACTCGCGTCCACGTATTTTAGACATTGTGTCTCCATTCAGAAAGCGTCCATTGTTCTTCTCGATTTGTCAGTCGTGTTCCCAGCCACATCTGACTCGTTGATGGACTAGAACGCATGCCTCAATTTTATATGGACTCGGACGAGCTGACTTCCAGTAGACCCTTGTCCAACATCCAGCCCTCGATTCGGTTTCAGTCGTTCTGTAGCGTGGATCACAGACGCACCTGGACTAAGTGTGTCTCACGCTAATTCAGTCGGGGCTGTCATGGATGACCCGGCGAGAATAAAACCGATTAGGAGAGAAAACATACAGGCTTGAATAGCGCTGGGGTTGCTATGGCAGATCACCAGACCAGCACCAATTCCCCGCAATCCGGACAGAAACAGCAAAGTCGTCGATCGACGAGAGCATCAAGACGGCAACCGTGATGCAGTTCTGAGATGTGATGGATCCTGCTCAGACCTCGGAAAGGCGATGCACTTCCGCAAGCTAGTCTTTCCCAGACATATCAGCGCAGAATCCGCTTGCATTTTCCAGACAAAAGGATGGAAGGAGAAGGGTATTTCCACCCGAGTGACGCCAAAAGCGAGACGCCTTAGACTTGGGACTACGCCCCAAGACGCGAGACCAAGGGGTCTTGCAAACCTTATTTTGCCACCCCACCTGAACGCCCCCCCTGGGTACCCCACCTCGTCCCCCTTGACTTCAACGCTCGAGCATCGGTCTACACACAGTACACGTCACCGCCTACGCTAGTATAATAAGGCCGTCCGCTACTCTGCTCGACACCCCGTCCTCGCTGTCTTCCCTGTCAACCACCATGCCCTTGCCGCTTCCGGCAGCGGTCCGGGTAGAAGTCTGGTAGCAGACCCCAACCCTAGGGCGTACCGCCACGTGTCTGGTGACACAGGCGCGCCGCTTCTTCGAGGCTGCGTCCCGCCTTTCCGGCACCTCGTCAGTAGGCCCGTCGTCGTCGTCGCCGACGATGAGCATAGCTATAGTACTTGTATGTAGTCATAAAAACATGGAATAAATTTCATTAAATACAGAAAATTCATGCTATTGCATTGACATGTACGCGGCGTCACTTAGACGCTCCGATCGAGCGTCATCGCCGTCAGGTTTGTCGTGCTCATTGTCTTCGACAGCGGCGGCGCACACCCTCGTATATGGCCTCAACAAAAATAATAAATTCATAGGATATTACATATATGCATTGACTCGTATTCCAGGCCATTTGTAGGCATAGAAA